CATCCATCCATCCATCCATCCATCCATCCACGCATCCATCCATCCATCCATCCATCCACCCACCCACCCATCCATCCATCTACCCATCCATCCATCCATCCATCCATCCACCCATCCATCCATCCACCCATCCTTCTTACATCCCTTCCTTCCTTCCATCTATCCATCTCTTCATCCATCCATCCATCCACCTTTTTATCCATCCATCTACCCAACTAACATTTATTTATATATACCCCTTCTCTGCTCCATCTGTGGCCCTGAGTTGGTAAAGCAAATTGACTCTCTGCAGTCACTGAACTACTGTTAAACTTGGGCTTAGACTTGGTTCTCCTTATACAAGGGATCTGGCTTGTCATTTGGTGGCCCAGTGCCTCAAGGCTCCTGTCAGTGTTTTGGAACTAATGATGGGATCTCTTGCCAGAGGATATGACTGCATCCTATTCACCTGCCAAGAGTAGCGGTGGGCTGAGAGTTGCTGGATGTTTCAGGTGAAAAACACGGCTTGGCTTCAGCTTTTGGCTTCTTCAAGGTTAATTCCATGCTATATAGACACCCAGTTTAACATGGTCACAGTGAGGTTCCCAACAGGTAACCTTGCTCTGTGCAGGGCCCTGTGCCAAGCATGTCATCTCGTAGAATTGTCACGACATCCTTCTTAGGTAGGTGCTATTGATTTCCCCATTGTCCAGGTAGGGAAACTGAGGCACAAAGAGAGGAGATCACTTTCCTGAGGTCACGATCAGGACCTGAGCCCCGGTCTCACTGATCCCGAAGCTTGCCGAGTTTAACTCCAAAATTAGATTGCCTCGGTGTAGATGCCTACTCTATGAATCTCCCCCATTTGGAGACTCTTGTGGAATGAAATGCCTTGTTTCCCTCTCGGGCAGGGAGAGCCAGCTAACGTGTGCTGCTGTAACAGGAAGTACTTTCCTGGGCCTTGCTTCAGACCCCCAGGGAGATAATAAGTGGGGCTGCCAGCCCAACGCAGTGAGGGAGAAACTTTGCAGGCGCACTTAGATTCCTTAAAGCTGATGAGCAGCAGACCTCCTGGAGAGGGTGACTTTTAGGCTGCCCGTGTGTGGGAGGCCTCCAGCCTTTAATTAAGGCACCTTCCTGGGCTCTCCACCTACAAACAGAGAAAATTTGCAAGGAGGGTTCACTTTGGCCACAAGATGGCGCCCAACTCTGGGCCCGACCTGAATGGGGCCGTGGTGGGGGGTGGGGGGAAGGGGAAGGATGGGGGTGGAGGGAGGGCAGAGTGGTTTGTTCTGGATGCTGTGCCAAATCACACCCTCTCAAACTGCTCCTTGGGAAGGGGAGAAATTTTCCAAACCAACCCCAGAGGTGCATTCCATTCAGCTGGTGCCGAGCCAGGGTCTGAGAGATCCAGCAACGAAAACGACAGGGTCCCTGCCTTCAAGGAATTAGAAGGCAGCATGCTCAGTGCCAGTCATAATCCAGATTGGTCATTTCATAAGCTTTTGATGAGCACCTACTGTGTGCCAGGTTCTGTGCTAGTTGCCAAGGACAGAGAAACAAACACTACAGAGTCATTGCCCTCAAAGACCCACAGTTCACTTGGGAGACAGACACTAAAAGAACAAATTTGGGAAAATAGGCAAGTACAGCCACAGGGATACATATAGAACATCGTAGAAGAATGGAAGAGGAACACCCGACCCAGGCAAGAAGGGAAGGGGAGTATCAGGGAAGGCTTCCTGGAGGAGAGGACACCAGAGCGGAGTCAGAGAAGACAGATGGGGATTAGCCAGGCAGGGATGGGGAGGGTATTCTGGGCAGTGCGGACAGCACCAGCCAAGGGTCACAGGGGAGAAACAGCACCCAGCTGGTGACTGGAGCTCAGTGAAGTCTGGATAGGACAGCATCAGGGCCAGGTCAACATGGGAGGTGGACATTGGTACCAGCTGAACGACATGGGGGCCGCCCCCTCTCAGTTCGTGTGCAATGACGGACACATTGCCCTCTCGTCTGCTTCTGTCTCCCTTTCAGAGCCAAGAAGAAAAGCAAGCCCTTGAACCTCAAGATTCACAGCAGCGTGGGCAGCTGCGAGAACATTCCATCTCAGCAGCGCTCGCCGCTCCTGTCGGAGCGCTCTCTCCGCTCTTTCTTTGTGGGACATGCACCTTTCCTGCCCTCCACCCCTCCCGTCCACACCGAGGCCAACTTCTCTGCAAGTAAGTCACCCGCCCGCCCCGCCGGGGCTGCTGAACCCACTTGTCTGCCAGGTGTATGCTCCCCGTTCTGAGAAGATGCTCGTAAGATGCTTGGAACGCGAGGCTCATCTCCCTCCCGCCTGCACCGTTCACGCCCCTTGGGTTTGAAGGGAAGGGGCGTAATTAGCACTTGGGAGGTTGACTGGCTGTTGTCATTGGTCCCCCTGTTCCTACTCTTTCTGTCTGCAGGTGTGGAAGGATAACAGAGGGAAGCAAGCATACAGGGCATTAAAGGAGACATCAGCTTTTTCTCTCTGCTTCTCTGCTGCCCGGTCACAGGATTTCTCTTGGGTCACTGTGGATAAGGCATCTGTGATTGAATTTTGTAATTTTTTTTTTTTCCTCCCGCTCGGGTCAACATGTATAACCCTTCATCTCAAAGACGTATTTGGGTTCAAACTAGGCTGAGCATGGCCTGGGGTGTTTTACATTCTGCTCCCATGAATTTCTGCCGGAGACAAAATGGTTATTACTCGGAGTGGAAATGGAACTTTCTGGTGATCAAGGGTGGAGGTTTCAGAAGGCGTTTAATCTTCTCTGCCCAGAGGCCCGTTTTGCTGAACAGGCACAGATGTAGTCAGAGGGGAGCCCCTGAAAAAAGCCCAGCCAGTCCTCCAGCCAAGACATCAACTTTTATTGGCCGGGAGCTGAGGAGGAGGAGAGGGCTGCCAGAGTGCGAGGGAAATAAGCCCCCGGCCCCCAGCACAACCACAGGGTGATCGTGTTGCTGGTCTGATAAATGAGCAGCAGTGTTTACTGAGTGCCTGTGCGTCCTTGTCACCCACGTGCCTGACCTCATTTAGTTCTCGCGACAAGCCATGGTGCAGACGAGTTATTCGCATTGTACAGATGAGGAAACTGAGGCTCAGGGGCCTCAAAGAACTTGGCAAAAGCCACACAGCTATTGAGTAGTGGAGCCAGGGTTTGAACCTGGTTCCTTCTTGCTCCAGAGCGGATACGCTTCACCATCACACACGATTTGATCCGGGATCCCCCAAATATTCAGCGGGGGGCCTTTCTCTAAATGTGGGGTTCTATCCTTTACCTTTGCCAGAAGGGTTTTCGGACTTTTTTTAGGGGGGCTATGGACCTTCTGAGAATTTCACGCAATCTGTTGTTTCTCTCCCTGGAAAGTGGCACACATAACCTCCAACACGGTGTCTTGAGGTCAAGACTTAACACAGTCAACATAGCACTGCTAGATGGTGGGCCTGGGCAGAACGGTGAGCTCAGTTTACCGTCTGCACATGTGCATCATGCGTCCGCCGCAGGAATCCACTGAGGGTCCAGAGCCAGAAGAGGCCCGTGTGGACGTCAGTTAGAAGTTCCAGAACCTGGCTTATTTCAGTGCCCAGGGGGAACAGGCCCTGAATCAGGCAAACTAAAATAGCACCCATGACACATATCAACGCCAGAAGGCCAATTTATTAATTTGTCGAGAGAAATCACGGTCAGAGAGACCGTAAATGCTCCATGGGGGTGAGCCTGTGTGCAGTCAGAGGGTGGCTTGGGAGCTCAGATGAGGAAAAGGGGGTGATGATGTATCAAATGTGTCCTAGCAACAGGGTGAGAGGCCCTGGAGGGAGGCGCCTGGGTGCCAGTCCCAGCTCTGTTTCCTTTTTTTTTTTTTTTAATTTTTTTTTTTAACGTTTATTTATTTTTGAGACAGAGACAGAGCATGGGCCCAGGGGGAGGGCAGAGACAGGGAGACGCACAGAGGGCTCGGAGGCAGGCTCCATCTGAGCCATCAGCCAGAGCCCGGCAGGGGCACTCACAGACCGCGAGATCGTGACCTGAGCTGAAGTCAGAGGCTCAACCAACTGAGCCACCCAGGCGCCCCAGCTCTGTTTCCTTTTGAGCAGCGTGCCTGACCTCGAGCAGGGCAGAGCCTTTCTGAGCCTCAGTGTCTCCGTCTGTAAAATGGAAATAATAATAGATTCCCTAGATCAGCTGCTGCATGTCAGGTCATCTGCACGGTGCCTGGCACACAGTAAGTGCTTAATAAGTGGTAGCTCTCATCATGATGTTTGTTAGCTCCTTTTTCCAGGCAGTGTTGACATCCTCTGGCTTGATGGTTAATCTGAAGCCTGTGGGTAAATGCCTTTCAGTTCTCCCCCCACCCCCACTTCCCTATGGCCCTAAGAGTGCTTGGAATTTACCTTGGCATGACGCCGGGTGGTTGCATCTGTCTCCGGGCATCGCCATCCCACGAGTGATGTTAGCATGGCCATCTCTGGGGGTTTGACCACAACTCTGCACTTGAGTTCTTTCCAGAATAGAAACATCTTCAGCGTGCTTAAATAACCACAGACTTGCACATTTAGATCCCTCCTCTCCTGCTGGAAAGTTTTGTGAGGATTCCCCATGACTCCCAACTTTTCATGCCTGCCCTGGTCTCCACGTGAGAAGACAGACTTCTCTCCTCTGTGGGCATGAGCAGAGTCCCTAATTAAAATCTGCCCTTAGCACCGAGACCCTAGAAGCACAGTTGCCTGTTTGGACAGTCCTGGTCCTTGTATGCAGAGAGGTCACCCTCTGATCTTCCATAAAGGAAGAAAGTAGCATCTGAGTCTCAGCAGGAGAAGGAGTATGTAACTCAAATATTAGCTGGAATCCCATGGACTGGTCCCATTTCCACTGATGCTAACACATGACAGAGACAGGCAGCCCGGTGGAACAGGCTCCAGGTTAGGAAACACAGTCTCTAGGATGCCACCGGGTGCTCGTGCAACCTCTGTCCCTCCCTGGTTAAGGCTCACCACACACTTTGAGGCAGGCATTATAATTCCCATTCTGTAGATAAGGAAACAGAGGCTCAGAAGGGTGAATGGTCTTGCCCATGTCATAGGTTTTGAATCCAGATCCAACCTAAGCCTGTATCCCTGCACTTTGGTAAAGCAAATTCCTCTGTCTGGGTCTCAGATTCCCCAGTTGTACAACAAAAGACTCCGTAAGGGTCCATTCCAGAGCTTAGAAACTCTGTGTTTCTAAGGCTTACCCAGTGAGCTTTTCCTGGGCAAATCTTTTGACTCACAATGCTGGTTTGAGGACTCTGGGCTGGGGCGGTTGAGAGGACACATTGGTCAGGCACTGGTTCCCTCGGGCTTGTAATAGTCCTGTTCTCCTCCTACTGTGAACTTCAGAAAAGACCTCTCTGCCTTTGGGCCCCAGTGCCAGCCCAACCCCCCTCTGACCCAGCAGAGGGAGCCCCTAGAGCTGCATCTTGTCACTGTCAGTTCTGTCTGTGGCCGCACGGTGAAGATGACCGTGAAGATGGTGATCCGCCATCTTGTCACCCCTACTGGTGATGCCTGGGGACAGCATTAGGCAGATCTGGCTGTAGAGTGGCCGAGACCCAGACCCTCAGAGTGCCCAGCTTCCTCCCGTGGCCTGCGAGGAGGACTTCACCTCCTTGGGGCTTACCCTCCATTTCTGGTTTGGGAGTGACGAGCACGGGGAGGGAGGGGAACGGCAGGAGCCCCAGCTTGCAGAGGAACCTTTCTCTAAGGCTGACTATGGACAAAACACGAGTTATTAAGCCCTACTGCTCAACGTGGAAGATGGTGACTCAGGAGTGAATCTACTTCCCGAAGGAGTAGAGAGCAGTGGACTTACCTCTCCGTCCTTGCTGCGTTTATTCGGCATTTCATTTGGGCATGCCATGTTGCCCAGATGGTGTCTGATCGGATGCCCTCCACCCATGGACCAGTTTTGGTCCAACAAGCTGGGTGCTGCTGGCTCCTAGTAGGGTATCTCTGATTTGGGCCGAACTGGGTCAGGCTGCCGCTCTCATCCCCAATAAAGCATCTTCTTCAGAATGAAAAAATACCGGCTAGATGGGAAGGAGTAATTACTCATCATCGTTCATTACCGGCTGGTGGAAGTGACTTGGGGAGTATAGCCACTAAGTGGTTGCTGACATATTGTTGGGCAAATCACCGAACCCCCAGTGTCTGTTTCAACCTGGCAAGGAGGTAGTGAGGACAAAATGAGGAATGAGTGTAGATTTCCCAGCGCAGTCGGGGTCGGGGAGTGCTTAGAGCACGGAGTCTCCACAAAGGGTAGCTTTGGCAGCTATCGGGGCTCGTTAGATGATGGCATAACTTGTAACAATGATGGAAATGGTGACGATAATAGCAATTGGCATTTATTGTGTGTTGACAGTGGTACAGGCAGCTTCACTTCAGGCAAAGCAGTTTACTTGTACTGTTTCGCCTGAGCCTCACAGTGCTCCATCAGGTAGTTTCTCTTCTTATCCCCATTTTGCAGATGAAGAAACTGAGGCTGAGAGCATTTGAGTAGCTGGCCCAAGATCACAAGGGCAAGCAGGAAGTGGAGTTTGCACCCATTCTGAATGCCTCGTTCTGTAACGCAGAGGAAATGCGGTTGTGACGCCCTTCGCCGAGACCTGTTTGCTCATCAGACAGAGACCTTAACTCGTTCCAGTTCCCTCTCTGGCACCCCCGCCTCCTGGGGGGATTGTGGTGTTGGGGGTCAGCCTTGCTCCAAGGATCATCGTGTTTGTGAGCATGCTGTGCTCACTCAGAGAGCAGCACCCACGCTGGCTGACAAACCACTGCCCTGCCAGACTCCGGTGTTGATACTCAGGGGATCCATTGTCCCAGGTGGTAGCCGTCCCTGTGGGGGCCAGGCAGCTGCAGAAAGCGGCCAGGGCATCTCCGGTAGAAGATGAGGAATAACAGGCAACTTTTACCACCTGCAGTTTTCTGGGTGTTTCTTTATTAGCTGTCTGTGGGGGTCTAGCCCCTGAGGGCAGCAGTTACCAAAGGGAACAAGTGACTGATGATTCCCACACTTCCCCCTCTTGGTCCTAATGGCACCAGCTGGAGTTTTACACCGGGTCCCTATCTTATAAAGTGCTGCCCCGCGCAAGGTGCCTTGAAAGATGGCGTGGCCCTCACCTTGCCCTGTCTCACCGCCCTGTCTCTCCTCCTCTTTTC